AGTTTATAAGGGCGCAGCTAATAATGGCACAAATTAAAAAATAGAAAAAAATGACACAAGTGAAAAACAGTCTCTTTAAACAGCTTAAAATTAAATACCAGTAGTTTTTTTTTTTAAATTTAAGCTATTTAAATTTACATTTTTAGTCAGATGACACTTGCTCTCTGTATTTACTTCTGATTCAGTTGTCTGGGAACCGTCAAGAACACACCATTGATCTCCGTGGCTCTACGGAAGTCATATTAAGTAATAAAAGGAAAGAGAAGATTTACTTGTGATCCCTTCACCAACGTGGAGCTACGCATGGTAGTTTCCTGTTTGGTTATCCCGAAATATTGGCCGACTTCCTCTAAAACGATTCATATAAATGGTGGTCCGTAAGTCTAGTCACTCTTACATAATATAATTTATTATTTCAACGCTCAGTTGGGGTTTTATCAAGGAGAGATTTTCACATGAACGATACCAGAATATCTATCTGTTAAAGGACGCCGTTCTGAAAGCCTTTGCAACAATCAACAAAGCACGGCTTCGTACAATATCACACAGGACATGAGGCCGTATCATTTTGTGCCACGAAGTCCTTCTCGCTGTGTGACAGCCTCAATGAAAGGCAATAAACTGAATCCAGTACATGTGCTTTGTAGTACTGTATTACGTGTTCTTCTAGTGTTCTCATTAATTTTTGTTAGGGATGAGAAGACTTTCGGACCACCGTGTAGATCAAAAAAAAATCTCATTCGTTAAGTTACAACAAATTGAGACATTTTTACACTCTGAATTAACCTACTATTATTTATGAAGAAAGTGGGTCGATATTTCAAAATATGACAACATTAGTGTTTACCGCTTGATAATTATCCGCACTAAATATTCATATATATTAGGTTGGTGCAAAAATAATGACATAATAATGTCGTTTTTTGACGTTAAAAAATACGTCAAAAAACGACATTATGACGTCATTATTTTGCACCAAATCCTATATATATATATATATATATATATATATATATATATATATATATATATGTGAATGGTAAACTATTGAAACATTCTTGATGTTAATTCATGCGCTATTTTACTCCGTCCCTTCAATCTGTCCCGTAAGAGTCGAATTCTCAAGCCTTCTTTCCTCATTATGCTCCCATGAATTTTCAGTTTCTTTCTGATTGTAAGTATTAGTGTCCTTTTTTGTTTCCATTTTCGTCGTTGCTCACATGTTCAGTCCAAGGTATTCGCAGCATCCTGCTGCAGAATCAAATTTCTGTTGCTTTAAGTTTCTTCTTCATCTGTGACAAGATTGTCGAGTATCACTGCATAATTCACTTGCGTAACATTAAAGTGTTTATTCATTTTTTTCTGTTTTTTTTTTTTTTTTTTTTTTTTTACTTGTCTGGATCAAACAAATGAAAAACGATAAAATAAAGTAAAATTCCTTGCTTCCATCAGTTCAGACCTTCACAGCTAGGATCCACCATGCCACGTCCACTAAGTCGAATCATTTTCATTCCGTTCGTATTCCATTGGTAAGGAGGAAGTTCCACTCAAACCTCTACTTCACCAGAACTGTTGCATTTTGGAACGGATTCCAGAGATGATGCTTCACGTTTCACTTCAATCTTAATTTCTTCAAGTCGACAATCAACCGTTATCTATCCTACATATCCTCGCTATAAATACCTCATTACTCCATCTTTGAACTCGCTTTGAAATAAACTCAGTAAGCCTCTGCTTTGAGTATCATTGATTGATTTCTCTGTTTAACGCTATATCAACTCTTTATACGTCATTTAATACCGACATTTAATTTTCTTAGGTGCTTGAAAATAATGCAAATATATGTTATTCTGCTTTCGCAATTGAATACATGGTAGATGATACTCAGCTTTTGTGCATTTACATCTTTGTGTGGACATGATTATTTGAGGTGATGATATGTGATTTTATGTTGTAGTTTTGTTGAAGTTATATTTTGGAATACAGTTTGATTTCTTTAAGAAATTGTAGGATATTATATGGATTAATGTCATGAAAGAGTCCTTTCAAATTGGTTGTTTGGTAGTATTTTGGGTGAAGTCGCTAAAATTTGTTAGTATCTGCGTATTGTTGGTAATTTTACTATAAATATGTATTGTTGGTAATTATTTAATATAAAAATGTATTACTGGTATTCTTACTAGAAAAATATATTTTTATAATGTTTTATATTTTTGTTGGGGGGGGTCATTTTGCCATAGCTGGGACCATAACAAGATCTACCACCCCATAATTTCTCCCTTAATTAAAGAATGAATGCTAAGTAACCACATATACTAGCTACACTTTAATTCTTTATGCTCAACTAATTTTACACCTGTCCGCTATACTCTTCTCTCTATTAAATAATGGGTGACCTGTTTACCATGGGAGACGTAAACATGACAGATGCAAATATGGCAGACATAAGGATGGCATTCTCCTATGGGCCGTGTCCTTTCAATACGTTGGCGATTAAGGCTCTCCACAATCCCGTCCTTTGTAGCTCTTAATAAATTTTGTCTTCTAACTACCATTTACTCAAGTTCGTTAAATAGTTTATGCGTTGTTTTCCTCCGTCCCTTCAATATGTCCTCTGAGTGTCGAATTTTCCAAGCCCTCTTTCCTCATTATGTTCGCTAGAATTTTTAGTTTCTTTCTGATTATAAGTATTAGTGACCCTTTTTGTTTCCATTTTTCTCAAAATTGGTCGTTGCTCACATGTTCAGTAGATAGTATTCTCAGCATCCTTCTGTAGAACCAAATTTCTGTTGCTTTAAGTTTCTTCTTCATCTGTGACGAGATTGTCCAGTATTCACTGCATAATTCACTTGCGTAACAGTTTAGTATGAATGGTTTGATTACATTGCTTTTTAAAGCTTATCAATACTTGCAGGTTATTTAATGTCGGAATTCTTTTTGCTTGTAAGAAATCTTTGGACATAATAAGGATATTGAAACAAGTCCTACTAATTAATCCATAGCAAGAGGAGAACAGGTGGACTGATACATTTCCTAAGAGTATTCGCACATTAATAAACATAATGATTCTGACAAAAATTCGAACTCGGCTCTCCGATTTCCAATTCGGAACCGTTAAGCATTATACCTGCGCATTCAAGATCCGGCACTTAGTATTACCATGTAGTTAGCCATCTAGGTACTGGCTACGCTCGACGTTGCTTAACTTCAGTGATAGTTCGTGAACCGATGTTGTATGGCCGTAAGCCAGTATGAATATCACTATTCTGCTATCCATTTACTCAAGTTCGTTAAATAGTTTATGCGTTGTTTTCCTCCGTCCCTTCAATATATCCTGTGAGAGTCGAATTTTCCAAGCCCTCTTTCCTCATTATGCTCCCTAGAATTTTCAGAAGTAAACCTCTCTCTGTATGCTCGTGTACGTAAATGAATGTAATGGATTCCATTGGAAATCCAACTCTGCCCTCCGAGCCGCTATCCATTACTCCACCGTGCTTCTTCTCAGGACATAAAGAAGGCAAATTATGCAAGGGTAAGCTGCCTCCCTCTCGAGCTTGCGTAAGTGGGCGATAGGACAGATTCTGGTAGGGAGAGTAAGGAGAAAAATATTGCTAAGAGCGAAAAAATTGTGGAGAGTCATGACCCTCCACGTTCTGAAAGAACACGGTGCATCGAAAAGGTGTTGTATTATAGCCGATATATGTACTGCGTGTTGGTTTGTGGGAGGTTGTAAATCTTCTTCAGGAATATGGAAAGTTGTACCTGCTGCTGTACTTCTTTAGGTGCCGTGTCCCCTCAGGGCGTTGACGATCATGGCTCTCCACAATTTCCTGTCCCTTTTAGTTCTTAATAAACGTTGCCTTATTTCTCTTAAGTCCTGTTCCACCATCATTTTACTCATAATCACTAAGTTGGTTTGTTTTCCTTTGTCACTCTTGCCCTCTATCTGTCTTGTGAGTATCAGATTTTCGAAGCTTTCCTTCCTCATTCCCAGCAACCTCAACTGTCTCTTCCTGATGTTAAGTATTAGTTCCTATTTTGTTTCCATTTACTCCAAAACTTTCGTCCTTGCTCACATGTTCGCTCCATGGTATTCTCATTTTTTATTTTTTTTTATTTTTGCTGGAGATGAAACACGAAGGTTTAAACATGACAGACTTAGTCTGACGTTGTCGAAACAACCGCAGACATTAAAATCTTAAACACCAGTCGTATTTCCTGTCGACATGCCGCCACAAATTTTTTTTTTTATTTTCTAATATAAACGTGAAAAGAGAAAATGCATTAACCATATGAATGCCTCTCTTTGTATGTTTGTGTACGTATGTGCGCGTCCGCGCGTGTGGGGATGCATTTTCTAGATATAAATACACTGTAGTGCTTAAATTGATGGAATGGCCGCAGACAGAGAAAGACAAGTGGACTAAAACACATCCTTGGTCACATTCATAAACAAGACAGCGAAATAATAGCTGCAGGTTAAACAACAAAGCAAGGACCGAAATCAAAGGGAGATAACCTGGAAAGGGACGTTAGAAGTTAAGAGTAAATCTTCATTATTTTTCTATATTTGTGCCTTTGTCGTTTTCTTTCTTTCGTTATAATTTGTCTTTTTCTATTTTTTTCCTTCTCTTAACTTCTTCATTTTCTTCTCCTATTCCTCTTTCGTCATTTCTGTTTTCTTTTGATCTTTTCTTCTCTGTTCTTCTGCTCGTCTTTCTTTCTTTTTTCTCCTTCATTCCGTTTTTGTTTATTCTAATGTTTCTTTGCGTTTTTGTTTCTTTTCTTTCGTGTTCGCTCTTCCATTTTTCCATTATTTTTCATCCTCTTTTTTCTACTTTATCAAGTCTTCCTTCTCATTTTTCTTTTTTCTTTCTTTTTCTTTAATCTTTGTTTCTTCTTCCTTTGTTTTTGTTTTTTCTCGTCATTTGTTTTTCGTTTTCTTTTTTCATTGATTCAATGTTTTTGATGTTTACTTTCTTTTTGTATTTATCTTTTTCATGTTTTCTTTCTTTTTTTTCTTTTTTCTTTCTTTCTTTCTTTGTCTTCTTTTTCGTTACTTCAGTGTCTTCCATATTTCTTTTACACTTCCAACCATTTTTCTTAATTCTTTTTCTTTATTTTTATATTTCTCTGTGCTTCTTCAATACTTGGCTTCTTTTTCTTCATCCTATTCTTCATTGATGTCTGTTCTTTATTTTATTAATTCGGCTTATTCCTTCTATACACATATGATCAGCTTCTTCTTCATCGTCGTCTCCTGCTAATACTACTGCCTTTTTTGCCTTATTTTTTTCTTCTTGCCTTTTTTCTATTTCTTTCTTTTCCTTATTGTTATTATTATTATTATTATAGTTGTCTTTATTATTTTTCTTCTTGCCTTATTTTTGTTCTTGCTTTCTTTCTATTATTTCTTATTGCCTTTCTTCTTCTTCTTCTTCTTCAAGTTGCCTTACTTTCTTTTTTGTATTTTTATTATTCTTTCTTCTAGCTTTTTTCTTCATCAACTTATTTATTTTTCTTCTTGCCTTATCTTTTCTTCTTTATTGACTGCCTTATTTTTTTTACCCTATTTTTTCTTCTTGCCTTATTTTTCTTCTTCTTGCCTTATGTCTTCTCTCTTGTTTTCCTGCCGTATTTCTCGTCCTTGCATTATTTCTCCCTATTGTCATATTCCTCCTTCTTCTTCTTCTTCTTCTTCTTCTTCTTCTTCTTCTTCTTCTTCTATATATTTGTCATTACCGTCAACTATTGTTACTGCTTTTACAATAGCTATTGTCGCAACCCTTAGCCAAAATATTGCAGCTCACCCACCACCACCACTCTTTCCACAACAAACAACAACAACAATCGCAGCTGATGAACACTTCAGAGAAAACTTGTCAGCATAGAGCTTGACATATTTGTTGACCCTCGGTCGAAATAAACGCCCAACACTTTACAATTGGACCCCACACCCCCAAAATCAAAGGAAGCCGTCTCTTGTTACATAAAAAAAGATAAAGATCGTAGCTGGGACCGGTCAGGGTGGAGGAATGTGGTGTTTAAAAGATAAGAAACTCGGAGGGATAGGGATAGGCAAGTGCGGTGGAGTACAAAGGGAAGGAGGACAGCTGTGAATGTCTGAGAGACGACGATGATGGAATCCGGGCAGAGGTTTTATATCAATTGCATTGACTAGCATCAGTCGTTACTGAAAATGGATAAAGCAATTATCACAGTGATTGGAGGCACGCCTAACTGGAGACGGGACTGGATTTCGAAATTGGTCTCCCGTATTTTCAGAATTTTTCTCACAAATCCGAATTCAACTGATGATTAAGGTATTGCGAACTTGCTGGAATTTTTTTTTTTTTGTCCGTTTTAACTCGACTGAAAAATAAGTTAGAGTGGTGACAATTTCACTACTGGGGCCATTTCCGAAAAATGGCCAAGTAGAGGCCATCAATGATCTGCTAGAACTGTTCATCAACCTTGATATATTCGGGAAAGATATCAGAATAATCAAGAACCTATACTGGCAGCAAACGGCATGCATTCGCATCGAGAATAAGCTCATCGAATATGCAAAAATAGAAAGAGGCGTAAGGCAAAGATGTGTCTTCTCACCGGACATTTAACCTATACAGCGAGGCAATTCTGAGGGATTTGGAGATCCTACCAGGATTCATCAATGGCGGCCACAACCTTAGCAACATAAGATATGCAGATGACACAGTACTGATAGCAAACACGGAAAAGAAACTACAAAACCTCATACAGAAGGTAGCGAGATGCAGAAGGATGCTGAGGATATCATGGACCGGGCATGTGAACAACGATGCGGTGTTGGAATGGATGAAAACAAGGAGGAAGCTTATGCTTAACATAAGGAAGAGGCAGATGAGATTTCTGGGACACGGGACAAATACAGGGAAAAAGAGACACACGTTGCAGGTACGGGCAGGTGGATGGCGGAGCGTGGTTTTAGAGAGTTGGCAGAAACACAAATCCCATTGAGAGCCACAAGGGATAGGGGGGAGTGAAGGGCCATGATCGCCTACGTCCTGAAAGGACACGGCACATAAAAAAAGAAGACCAAGAATTTATTTTATAATCCTTTTTTGGCCGGGCCAAGGAATTTTCATTACTCACCTCGTATACCCAGTTAACAAAAGAATACTACTACTACTACTTCTTTTATGTGTCGTGTCCGTTCAGAACGTAGGCGACCATAGACCTCCACATCTTCCTGTCATTTGTAGCTTTTAATAAATCTTCTCTTTTTTATTGTTTCTCCCAAATTCGGATTTACCATCCATTTACTCAAGCCCATCAGTTATGTAACGCGCTGCTTTCGCCTGTCCTTTTTCCCTCAATCTGTCCAGTAACTATCTGATTTTCTAAACCCTTCTTCCTCATTTCGCCCCCTCCCCAGAACTTTCAACTGCCTCTTCCTGATGTTAAGTATAAGTTGCCTTTTTGTTTTCATTTTCTCCAAAACCTCATCAATACTCACATATTCGGTCCATGGTGTTCTCAGCATCTTATTGTCGAACGACATTCCTGTTGCTTCAAGTCTCTCCTTCATCTTTGAGGTGAATGTCCAGCATTCACTGCCATATAGGAAGACAGAGATCGCGTAACGGTTCAATATTCTTTTCTTTATTTCTAACGAAATACTCTGCTTCGCTTTTTGGAATGCATGTTTGGTCATCCCAATACGTCTTCTGATCTCAGTGTCGTACTTTTCGTCTTCTGTTCGAAATCTTCTCAGATATTGAAAATTTTGTTCATAAAGGTTACTGAAACATTGTTTTGTACATTCCACCACAACGTGCTTGCAGCGTTACCTTGTAAAGTTACATTAAAAGAAAATCGGTAATAAATTCCAGGAAGATATTAGAACGTGCACTTTGATTCCCAATTCAAAAAATACAAAACTAAATTTGGCAAACCTGGATCTTCGTGCCCGCAATATGTCATAGTATCAAAAGGACTTTTTTTTCCTAGGACACGGCTTTTTTAACTATCTTCACACTTCGGCAATGCTTATCGTTTTAAAAAGTGATGATTACTATTGTAATAATACGTTCTCCGTAGAATAGCGTTAGACCTGCCATCAAGCTGCCAACACGCCAAGACAGTTACTAAAGTGTTAAAAGCACAGCTACTGTCAGGATAAAAAATGCATTTCTGCGATAGATTAAACTTAAAGGAAGTGATATTTGTTTCAAAGCGGATTAATTATACTTTAAATCCGCTAATAATCACCAATTAAAGTTTCAGAAAAGTATGATTTATTTTGGAAAATCTTTTAATAATGAGAATTACAATGAGATGAAAGACTATTATTTGAAATTAAAATTAAAATAAAAGCTCCAAGAAAGATTTTTCATTATTAAAAATTCATTTTAAAACCTAAGATATCGCGATTTTTTGTGTGTAGGTTGTACATATATATACATATATATATATATATATATATATATATATATATATATATATATATATATATATATATATACACACACACACATATATATATATATATATATATATATATATGTATGTGTGTGTGTGTATATATATATATATATATATATATATATATATATGTATGTGTGTGTGTGTGTGTGTGTGTGTGTGTGTGTGTGTGTGTGTGTGTGTGTATTATTATTAATTCAATAGTACCAAAACTGGCGAATTTCATGTGACGTTATAACATTTAACTCTGAGATATTATTGAATTAATATTATATTATATTGACGCTATGCCGACTTTAGCATTGTTCCCTCAGGTTGTTTTATATTTTAAGCTTTCATCTTATTTTAAGCTTTTATCTTATTTTAAGCTTTAGATTATAAAGATTCATCTGTCGTTCGCTTCATACTTCTTCCCTGTCTTTGCAACAGTAGAGTTTTATCCCATGTTTCCTGTTAAGGATTCAGTTCCCAGTTCCTTCTCGCAAAGTCATCTTATTCTCTTTCACTTTGAAATTTGTTTAAATTATTGTCTATGTTTGGCGATTATGCCGTGATATTTTTGAGTGCTTAAAAGAAAAGATGGCTTGATTTCGTTTTACTGGGCCTACGGTCTGGATGGTAGACCGTGACTTGATATAACAGTTGACTAAATCGAATAGGATACAATTGCTTACCAAAGGCTTAAGTAGCACATTAAATAGGTGATATTAATTTATTTAAGTTATTAGTTGTGATTCTAAGGTTTTCTTTGAATTCATTTTTTCTCCAACTTAATCACTTCCCCGGCGTAGAAGTGTCTTTTTTAGACACAGGCAAATAAAAATGTCTAAAACATCACGTTCAAAAACCAGCCACAAACATCTTTATATTGTCAATGTTGATACTTTTTATGGCTTTCTGAGCTTGAATCGAGTCCAGTTGTCAACTCATAAGTCTGATAGAGTTGTTAGCCACCGCTAGGGTACTTCATGGTACCCCAGTTTATTAAAAGCAAATAAAAAAATTCGTCTGAAAATGAAACGTTTATCCCAGAATAATTGGCGGGAAGGAGTTAATTATCAGCACTGTGCTCGCTTTTATCAGTTCCACTTAATAAACTGTTTCGTCAAGTCTTCCTCTAGGATGGCTCTCTTGGTAAAAAGCTGAGAGGTTTAACTCGTAAATGCTCAATGTAAAATTCTGTATTATTTATAAAAACTAAAATAAAAAATACGGTATTAATTACAGAAGTCTTTTGATGGCGCCTACATACGCACACTTGCCTCTGCACCTCCATCGCATGAGCACTTTTATAGATTTTACCGAACACTAAAAACGATAGTCTTCTTTTGTAGCTATCCCCTACAAAAATAACATACCTTGTTTCTTATTTCATCAACAACCTTTCCACCCACCTATATATATATAATAATGTTCAAGTGTGTATTATCATCATGTAGATAAAACGGCACATCGTAGAGATATTTTCATTAGGGCAATAGTGTTATGTATTCTCTGAAGCAATTACCATTACGGTTTACAAATTATTAATACTGTTTAATACACTCATACAGCAGCACAAAGTAACCTTCTACCTTGAGTGGCCCTTGTGTCTTGCAGTGGAGAAACATTAGTTTAAACAACGAATATTTGAATACTTTGGTGAGTTGATTAAAAAATAAAATCATATTACTATTGAAAAAATATGAAAGTAAAACTTTACTAAATTCTATATGATGATCGTGAAATAAAGATATCTTTATTTTGTTAAAAATAATTATTACATATTTTTATGATAATAATGCAATAATAAGTAAAAATAGATCTTCACTTTTTTTTTTAAGCGTTTCACCCCAAGCAAGGCGGGAAGCCACGAGGACGCAGGGAGGGTAACAGAAAATTTGGAGCAAGATCAGATAGGAGTGATAGAGGAAAGGATGAGGAGAAGGGTAGTGGATAGATCAAGGCAACTGGAGATGTCGATTGACATTACATTTGAATAGTTGGAGATTATAGCTCTCAGGGAAACTGGAATAGGGAAGGGAGTTCCACAGGCGAGAGGTGCGAGACGTGAAGCTATTGGAGTAGAAGAGACGGCTACATTTAGGAGTTTCGACAGTGAAGGGGTGGGAGCGGGATGCCAGCCTCGTAGGGCGCTTGAACTCATGAAGTTTGGGAACCAGCGAATGCAGCTCCTCGGAGCAATTACCATGAAAGTATTTGTAAAATAGACAGAGAGAGGCGACGGCGCGTCTGTGCGAAAGTGACTGTAGACGAGATGCCACAACAGGGCCAATT